ACCTCCTATGTCCTCAACCTATCCTTCCACAGCTACCTCTACCAGCACTGAGCTATGAATAACTGGTTTATGACTTAAAAAGATCTTCTATGATGGATCTTCAAAACTTTGTTCATGGGCAATGTGTGTTATGAGAAAACTATGCTTGGAATTTTTTTACACCAAATTAAGTCACACTCTTTTTTTTATAATTTATTTTATTTATTATTGTTATTTTTAAAATTTGCCACTGGGCTCATGCACTCTTCGGAGAGAAACAGTGAGAGAGAGTGAGAGCAAACTGCCAGGTCTGGGACTTGAACTGCAGTCAGCCATGTGGAAATTTACTGTCTTAACCACCACACCACCTGTTGTCCCCTAAATTCATAGTTTAATTCCATTTTTCCCACTAACTTTTTTTAGTGCTCTCATACTTCACCCTGTATCTTCTACCTCAACTCTCCCTAGGCGAATTCTTGGCCACTTTATGCATCTTACAGAATCCATGTCCTAGCTTCCCTCATTGCCAGCTGCTCTCAGGTGGAACTTTGCTCTACCCTAAGGGGCCTTCCAAGGTCATAGGTGAGAATCATGGAGGTTCATGCCCACTAATTCATCATTTTTCTCAGTGGCTTTTTGCACATACTACCACACTTGCTTCCAGATCCTCTGGCTTCCTGGATCTTTTGATTTCATACTCTCACCTTGCTGACTCACTTTCCTACTCTGTTCAGTCTCCCTTTCTTCTACCAATTTTTTAAAGGATCAGATTTCCCAAGTAGAAGCTTACCTGTGGCCATTACTGTTATTTTAAACAAAGTTCCTTACTACTCTATTTTCCTGCATATTTGAGGCCAAACACTGTGATCTCATCAAGAGCAAGAGAGAAGCCGTCAAGAGGAGGTGGATGTGGGCAGCCATTACCCTCTGTGTGTGTTAGTGTGGTCAGTTGCAGGTCTGCGTGGGCATTGGAGCGTCTGGCATGTTGCTTTATTTCATAGGAGCCTTCACATTAAAGCTTTTAAAGGTACCAGTGATAAACTGGATGGACTTGGACAGGGACTGTGAGGTGGACTTTCCTCTCCACTTGTCTGTGAGAGGGAAAGTCTAGCTGAGCTGAGTGTAGTGCAAGTGGAAGACTGTAAATAATTATTCACACCTAGAGGCTTCCTCAACTCTAGGGATGTGGAGTAAAAATTCTAGGGAAGCTGGCCCCCAAGGGAGTGTGACTCTGGGTCAGAAAAATCCATCATGCTCAGCGCTTTACTTATGTTTTTCAGCCTAGAGCTTGATGATTGATACTTTACATTTAGAGTTCACCCCCTCTCATTTCACTAATAAATTTTCTCATTCATCAAGAGTTATCTTTTGTCGTTTAATGTCTGACTAAGCTATCCTGGGTGCCAGGCTAAGTAGTTTTTCTCTTGAATTGATGTCAGTCCTGTCATTCTTCCACACACTGAGTCATATTTGGTACTGGGATGACACAATGAAATCAGCTGGGAGAACACTGTCCTGAGTCACCCCTGCACAGTCTACAAGTGCACGATTTGTGTATGGTTTGCATTGATGAAAGGTGAGGAGGAAGAGCTGCTTTCGCAATGACTGCTGCCAAATATATCTTGTGAATGTGCCTGAAGTCCAAGTGCTGTTCTGATCTCTCCTGGAAAATTTCCTGACCAAACGAGCATAGAGAGAGCTTTCTTCCAGGGGATATTTGAGTTTTCCAAAGGAATTAGACCTAAAGGATAGGTTTTCTTTCCTCCCATCCATCCTGGGTAGACCAAATCTTCAGTACCATCAGCCGTTGGGTACTACCCTCACGCTTCACTCAGAGGTTGCTTTGTTAGTACAATGAAGCACTCAGAAGAAACTCATTCTTTCACAGGCAAATGTAACATTAAAGTTATGCTCAGTTACTCTCTCATTTTCCATAACTAAGACATGATGTTCCTAAATTTGTTCACAGTCTAAAATTTCTCAAAGTGTACCGACTTCTAATTCATTCTTTCATCCTTTCTTTTAGATTATCATGGCAAACTATACAAACACAAATTTTACCATTCCAACCATTTTAAAGTGTATAACTCAGTGACATGAAGTACCTTTACAATATTGTGGAACCAGCATCACTACAGTTTCAGAACTCAATCATTCTTTTAAATCTTAAATTACAATGTCAACACTCTGTCAAAGCTCCAAAATACCAGTGACATCAACCTTGACTGTCACGTTGACCTAGCCTATGTTTTACCCTCTTCCATCACCCAGTGACTCTGCCAAGCCCAGGACTCTGTGTTCTAGCACCTACTCCCTTTATTCCTATGCTAGAGAAACTTGCTCATCAATTCATCTTTCCAGAAATGTCTTTACTTCAATTTGATCATGTCTACTCAGCTCTGTCTTCAAAACATACATTGCAGGTTTTTAAAAAAGATTTTTTTTCCATTCACTTATTAATTCATTCGGCAATTCAAAAACTTTGTGCCTAATGTGGTTGTGCTGGACGCAGAAAGTATGATATGTTAGTGAGTTAGTCTGGATTCACCAGAAAAAATTATAAGTGGTTATTATATGTGTCTCTGTGTGTGTGTGTGTGTGTGTGAGTATGGAGAAAGAGAGAGAGAGAGAGACTGACTACAGGGAATTGGTACATGTGATTATAAAGGCTGAGAAGTTCCAAGGTTTGCAGTTGTCAAGCTGGAGACCTATGAAAACCAACTGCATAAATTCTAGTTCAAGTCTTTGTCTGAAGTCAGGAGAAGGCCTATATACCAGATCAAAGTCAGGCAGAGAGAAATACTTCTTCCTTATTCAGCCTTTTATTCTATCTAGGTCCTCAACACATTGGATAAGGCCCACCCATGTTACAGAGAGAACCTCTTAACTCATTCTACAGATTCAAATGTTAATCTCATTTATAAACACTCTCTCAGACAAAGTCAGAATATTGTTTGAGCAAATATCTGGACACTCCATGGCTCAATAAAGTTGACACATAGAATTAACCATATTATGCGACTATCGCTAGTCTAAGGTCACCCAACCTGGTGAGCGATATGAATGCTTGAGGAACAGAAGCTAATGTGCAGTTAATGTGATTCAGCATCTCACAGGTGCAATATGATATTTAATCTGCACCATAACCCTCTGAAATGGTATCGCACTTATTTGACGAAGAGGTGATATAGTTCACTGAGGTCATGTTATCACTATGAAGTTGAGGTTCAACCAGGTTTGCTGGTCCCCAAGTCTATGCCCTTCCCAGGGCCTCACACTGACACATATATCAAAAACATTTATTTCCATGGCTCAGCTGTTGTGGCACACTGGTAATGTTGCCCCCCCTGCAGTGCTGGAAGTCATATGGCAACAATGGCTTGGATCCTGGTTCAGCCTGAAAAACATGTAGATGCCCTGAAAAACTGGAAGGCCATGGAAAGGTGACAGTGGTGTGACAAATCCTATCAAGGATGTTTTCTCTTTCTCTCTCATACCTGCCTCCTCTCATAAAATGAAAAGAAAAAAAAAATGAGTTGATGTCATTGTAGTTAGCTTAGTTAACTGTGTAGTTAACTATTCTGAGTCTTTAGCAATAAATAAATAGAAGGAAAAACACACATTTTCAAAGTTTTACATTTTCTACATTTCCTATAACAAGCAAATCTTACTTTTGTGAAAGAAAAAAGCTTAAATTGTAAAACAAAACACAACTATACCCAAGAACAATGAACAACACTCCGAAGCATTAATTGCAATTCTAGATGATAGATGCTACGGAAGAATAGCAGTGACTCTGAGGTGAACACACATCTTCTCTGTGGGAGGGATGGTCAGAGAGTGTTCTGCAAATGAAAAGGACTTCAAGCACAGGCTAGAGCCCCACTTTGAAACTGTTTGGATTCCTTACTATTTACATATACTCTATTATAATAGCAATAAATATATCATTTTCAAAGGTTCTTGATAAACTACATGTTGGGGATAGGCAGGTGACACTTTCTTTGTTGCTCTGTCGTTCTCCTTAATTTGGGGGGGAATCTTCACCATCCTCCCAACTAGTTCCCCAGATGCCAGTGGTAATTCAGTAAAAAGGCCTCCTTCCTCACTACTTCAACAACACATAAATCACTTAGATCTCAGTCAACTTTTGAGAAAAAGGCTCTGTATGCTCAGCATTTCCAACCAGCCTTAAATCACCTGCACTCGTTCAGTGTCTAGAGTAGCACTTGGCCCTCAGAGCTGCCTGGGTGTTTTCACACCTCACTCACACTGACCAGCAGGGGTGACATGCCTGTAATAAGGATGGAGATTCATGGAATTAGTTGGAAGTGAGGTCAGGCAGAGAAAAACCCCAGCCTAAATTTCCCTTCAGTAATCATTGGGTCTAGGAAAATAGAAGCACTTTAAACACACGTAAATGGATTTATTTAAAACTAACCTGTTGGAAGCCTGCAGCTGTATCTTGCAAATTCATCTGTAAACATTTCAAGAAGAGACAGATACCTCCAGGGATGCCAGGAGAGATGGAAGTTAATTGTGCTGAGAACATCAGTCTGCAGGGTACATCACAGCAGAGTGGGGCTCGCAGGTGCTGTGTCAACCCAGGCCACTGGTGGAGGGCCACAGGCTGCTCAATCTCAGGATAACAAAGGTGGGGCCTGCCCAGTGGGGTATTTGACCTCCTTCCACAAGGTCCTGATAACTGAGTGCACACCTTTTCTCCACTATGCATTCAGTGACATCATATTGGTAGCATAAAGTCAGTTGTGGTGAGAATATTTACACAATAGAAATTGGTAATTGCTAAAAGTCAGCCTTCCTCCACTTTCATCCCAGCTGGTTGTTAGACAATAATCAAAATAGAACTGAATCTGTCTAGTACATTCTGGATAAGCTGGACAGGGTTTTCCTAATAGAAGACACATGTGATGACATACGTCCAGTATTGCCTGCCTCTACCTGTTCTTATGCACTATAATGGAAGCTGTGTTTTTAACTTATGATCACTCCTCCCCCAGGTATAGGCTACAGAAAGGCATTGAGAACAGCTCATCCAAACCTCTGTTCCTCATTTATCCTATCCTCTTCAAATACCCCCTGGAAACTGAAGAAAGTAGATTACCCCCTTCCAATCATGGTACTCTGCATTCTTTCAAAGGGATGCCCAAACTGGGACCCTTAACCCAAAGTTACATGAACCCTATTCCATTCTGAAGAAGCAGGACTCACAGCTACACATTTGAAAGGGTGCTGTGGATCAGAATTTGGTAAGTTTCTTTATATCCTGTCTGGGTTTTTCTTCCCCTTTAAATCCCAATTGTTGCCTCCCAAGTGGATGTATGAATCCTGAAGTCATCAGCCTTCATTACCAGAGAGCTCAGGTGCTACCTGTGAGCCTGACCTTTCCAAGCATCATTTATCCGGTTATACCCTGATACCCTTTACTTTCCTCTGGAGATATTTTAGTTTTAAACTCTGACTTAGAAACTGCTCCACTTTACTGGTATGTATGCTTGGTGACCTGTTTTAAGGCACTTCTTTTAAGATTAAAAAAAAAGAAATAATAAAGTTTTGTCTACATGTTCACTCCATACTCCATTACATTCCATTTGAACACTAGTATTGTTTTTTTTTTGGAGAGGTTTTTGCTATAGGGCTATAGGGCGCATGCGATCGCCAGACAGACAGAGAGAGAGACAGAGAGACAGAAAGTAAGAAATCACTCCCCAGGGGGGATGGCCACGCCACAATCCCTTCTCCTCCATTCTCCTCTCGGGGTCTTGGGCACGAACACACACGCACCCAGCGTGAGGTTTAAGCCACCGGGTCTGGGACACGAACCGCGGTCGACTACATGGGAGTCCAGCCACATAGCCATTACGCTAACTGCTGGTCCCATCACTAGTATTGTTAAAGGTAAAAGCTGATAGCGAGGGACTATCAGGTAGCATTTAGTTAGGGACACAGCCAGGTGAGATCCTCCTTGGCTGAAACTCCGCTAAGGGAATTTTACAGTGTGAGGACATGACCAATGGAAAGGAAAGCCCTAATTTGTTGTGAGTCACAGGCTGAAAGAGTCATTCTGGGATTCTTCAAGGGAGTTGGGTTAGGACATGTGACTCAGGGCTGCTCTCCAACCTCAAGCCTGAACTGATATATTTGCTTCAGGACACTGAGGGAAAGTGTGTGTGTGTGTGTGTGTGTGTGTGTGCATGCCCAAGATCCCGAGAAGAGAATGGAGGAGAAGAGATTGTGGCGTGGCCACCCCCCCTGGGGGGGTGATTTCCTGCTTTCTGTCTCTCTGTCTCTCTGTCAGGGTGGTACATGGTCCTAAAAAAAAACCCTTCCAAAAAAAAAAAAAAAAAAAAAAAGAGGAACTGAAGCAAGAGTTTTTTATCTTGATCTTGGTCAGGATGGGCTTATGTGTGTTACCCCTGTGGCAGGTGTCACATGCTACATGGGCTCAGTGATTTTTCTAATTTTGGAGTGGATACAAAGGTTAGGAACTCTCTTCATCTAAAAGCTTTGAACCATAAAGACTATTGGTTAACGGTCACAAGAATTTCTACATCATTTGGACTTATAGTTATAATTGTGCTCAAGTGCTTTAGATTCTAGTCTGGTTCTTGGTCCCTGACTCTAATTGTTTTTGCATATGATGACCTGCCATGGATGTTACAATTGCTGGTTTCATTTGGAGTCTACCCACAGGGGCAGGCAATAAAAGTTAAAGAAACTACATTTCTTTTTTTCTTTTTTAAGAGTTATTTATTTAATTATATTTATTCATTCATTTATTTTAATTTGACCAGAGAGAGAGGGAAATTGAGAAAGCAAGCCACCAGGTCTAGGACTCGAACTGTGTGGGAGTGTCCAGCACTTCAACCACCATGCCACCAACTGGTCCCCAAAGAAACTAGATTTATAAAGAAGCTAAATCCAACTAGCTGGCTTTGCATGACATTCTCATCATCTTTCTATCATGCCTTTCTTGGTGCTCTCCCTAACTAACTTCTACCTTACAACTGCTCCACAGGGTTATTGTCTGTTTTAGGCCTATTTAACCCCTATAATAATTGCACATTGGCATAAATATATGATGTGTGTGTGGCCTTGTTATTACAACCTCGCTAATCTAAGCACTTAATACATGGCAGCTACTCCTGTTGAACATGGGTATGGGGCTTTACCTGCAGTCCAGATACTAGAGCAAAGACTGAGATCATTCACTCCAAAGTGCCCCACAACACAGAAAAGGCTGGATGGTATAGAGACACCTTCCAATGTATGTAATTTCAATTTTATTCACATTAAGCAATTGGTGCAATCAATTTACAAGATTATCCAAAACTTGACTGCCCATTGCTTTTTAAAAGGAAAGTTGCCTTTAGGGAGGATTAATGCCTCAGGCTTTTCCTCTGCCTCCTCCACTTTCTTTAATATTTAATCTAAGGAGTGTGTTTGCCTCAGCAGACTTGCAGGAAGCTCAGTTGGGATCTCAGTGGACAGTTTCCCAAGAAGGGAGCTATAGACCTGTGGTTCCAGAATATTAACCATGTAAGAGACACCACCACAGTATTCTTTAGGTATAAGAAACTCCTAGATTAGTATTTACTTAATATTTTTTCTATAAATCAGTTTTCTCTTAATGCAAATATATTATGTACATAGCAAAATGTGTAGTACCTTATATGAAAAGCCATTATCACTTGGCAAAATAAAACAGTCTTTATGTATATATATATATATA